GCCCCCGCCCGCGGGGGTCGGCCCCGCCCTGCCAATACGGCGGTGGTCATGAGCTGTCTGGGGCACACTTCCCATCCTCTGCCGTGGGCTCGTGGGCGCTGCGGCCTTGCGCTGCTGGCAGCTCTGGGGTTGGCGGTGCTGTTCCGTGACTTCCCCTCCTCTCCTGACAAAGCGCTTGCCAGGGGGGAGGACGGTGACTGTGCCGTAGCCGCTGGGGGACCCGGGCAGCTTGTCATCGCCTCCTTGTATGAATAATCCTGGAGGTGGCTGACTTTTCCACTCCATGTTTGGTAAATTTCCCCAGTATTTGAGGAAGACGGAGGGAGCTGGGCTGGCCCCCGGCGCCGCAAGAAGCAGCGTCCTGCGTTGGGAGGAAGGGAGGCGGGTGGAGCGGCCGTGCCAGGCTGGGCAGGGTGACACAGGGGTGGACTGGACAAGGGTGCAGCGCTCTGGGTGGAGCTGTGGAAACCGGAAATGAGCATCTGCCTGTTTTTGCTTCCAAAGCGGCCCCCAGCGCAGCAGGCAGGGCTGCCCCACGGCACATGCAAACAGCCCCTGCTGCAGAGATAAGAGCAGCACGTGGCTGGTGCCCCCTCCGCTGCCCACGGCCCTGATTTACGGCATTTAACAGCTGGCTGCCAAAGGAAGGGAGCAAACAGCCAGCGACAGGGAGGGAAGCCTGACTCTGAGCATCCGCCTGGACTTGCTGTGGGGGACGGGCCTGCTTGTTGTTGCAGCAGCATCTTGTCTCTGTCCAAGTCTCCTGCGTGGGCAGGCGTCAGCGAGCGTCGCAGCCCGGGGGCCCCGTGGTGGTGGATTCCTGCTCCCTGGGGAGCTGAGGGGAGCTTCCTGCTGCAGATGCTGTAGCTTGTTCAAAAAACTGCCCTAGTCCAGAAAGAGCCAGTCTGGTGCAGACCGCAGCGCCGCGCCATCACGGGGCAGGACCTACTTGATTTGAAACTTGGCTCTCAGGTTCTCTCCAGTTGTCCTGACTGATATATCCTTGGTCTCACATTTATGGAAACCTCCCCTAATTGCAGTTCCTTTGACTCTGCAGACGGTATTTTCCTGTGTTTGCCGGGCCCTTATTTAGTACGATTGTATTCGGTGTGCCCAGAAACGTGGCAGGCACCGAACGGTAGGCCCCAGCTCCAGTCTGCAGCAGCAAATGGGGGGGAAGGGACCGCGGCTGGGGAGGTTCGGGCCTGCAAAGCGGCACTGAGGTGGAGACGCAGCAGGTGTGGATACGTGCACAGGGAGTGGGTGCGGTGGTGGGTTGCCTCTGCCGGGGCACTGTGCACAACTAGTGCAACCTGCCCTGTTCCCTGTTGAAAACCAGCTTGCATTGAGGGATGGATAGCGGGCACAAGCAGTGCGAGTGAGATGGACGTGACAGCAGTCTCCTTTTTTTCTTTGAGACTGCAGTTGACTGCAGCTGCAGGTACTGCTCGAAAATGAGAGAATTTTAACTTTAAAAACAAAAAGGAGCAAACCACTTTCCCGCATCCTCGTGCCACTGATGTTTCTCCTAAAGCGGAAGTCTACTCGCCTTCACCGGTGGTGTCTTGAGCTCTGGCAAAAGGCCCTGGCAGCCTCCTGCGCTCGGGGCTGCCAGTGCACGGGGGGCGTTTACTCTGTGCTCGAGTTATGATGGCAGAGACACAAGAGGGGGAAACAGTCCTGGGAGCTGGAGGCATTTTCCATGCAGTTGCTGCTTTGAAGTGGGTTCAGTCTGAGCCTAAAGCTACTTGCAGCTTCTTTGCTTCCCCTTTTTGGACTTTTTGAGATCCCTTTTTTTCTCTTCTTGTCCTCTGGGCTCTGAGTAACTGCCCTTATACTGCCTCCCTCCCCAGTTCTGGCTAGATCTGGAAGTGGGGCCTTGGCACGACGGTTTGCCTTTGGGAAGAGTGGCCCAGCCCGTGTCGGGAGCTCCAGTGGGGCCCGGCTGCTGGCTGTGGCTGAGCTGGTCGCTCTGGTTATGCTGGAGCTGACCTTGCAGGCCGAGCCTCTGGCCCAGCTCAGCCCTCTCGTCTGCCTCCTGCGTGGTGCCGGGGTTACAGAGCAAAGCCCTCGGCGCGGTGGTGCTCACGTCTCTTCACGCCGGTTTCCTCTGCAGCCCCTCGCCGGTCTTGACGTCTTGGAGAGGAATGGCAGCTAAATGTGTCTTCTCTTTCCAGCTGCCGAAGCAGTAACAGGAAGAGCCTGGTGGTGGGAACGCCGTCTCCAACCCTATCGCGTCCCCTGTCCCCACTGCCTGTGCCAACAGGTAAGGAGTACCTGGGCTCAGTGACTCTCAGGCACCGCCGAGGACTTTGCTGGTGTTCGCGTCCCCTGCAAGGTCCTGTGCTGGAGCTGCAGAGCAGGCGGCCCAGCAGCCTGTTGCTGTGAATTCAGTCCCCTCTCGGCGCGTCTGCCTGCGGTCTTCCTGCAGGGCCTGTTGTGAGCCCAGGGCCGTCGACACTTTGGGATGGGGAGCACGTGTGAGACGAGCTTTGTGCAGTACTGCTTGCTGCCAGAGTCACTCGTGCGCCTGGCGGGGTGGGTGCAGGTGTGTGCCCGTAGGCATGTGGAACCTGGCTTACACGCCCATCCTTGTGGCGGGCACCGTTGCCTGTGATGGGGCGGCCGTCTCCTCCCACAGCAGGGAGCAGGTTTGTTCTCCAGCAGGAAAGCAAGATGGACTAAGCGAACCATTTGCCTGGTGCCCTTCCAGCTTCGAGGGGCAGCTGCTGGCTGAGACAGGGTCCAGCCCCAGGCCATTCACTTCTTCCTTTCCTCTTTGCAGCCGGGAGCAGCCCTCTGGACAGTCCCAGGAACTTCTCCACCAGCGCCTCCGTCAACTTCCCCTTCGCTCGCAGGTGAGCTGGGCCTGGTTTCTGCCCGCAGGCTGGGAAGGATTGGGCCAGGCTGCCTGCTGGCCCACAGGAGGCACGGGCTCCTGTCGGTAGCATGGCTCTCCGGGCAGAGCGGGTGCAGCTGATCGTGCCTCAGCTTCCACCTCCAGAGGCCCAGGTTTGCACTGGGTCTCTGGGCCTGGGACTTCATTGTGCCCTTCGGGTTGGTCCTTGGCGCAGGTTGGTGCAGTCACTGGTCCGAAAGTGGCCTGAGACGGGAGCAAGAGGGATAGAGCATGGACTGCCGAGCTCCTTTGGCAGGTCACTGCACAAACCGCCTGCAGTACCCCCGGCTCGGGGCTGGGGCGCGTGGGCAGCTGTAGCGGGGTAGTGTGGGAAGAGCTGCTGCATGAGGAGGATGCTGAGGGCCGCAGTCGCTGCGCTGCGCTGCGCTGCGCGTCCCCACAGCTCTGCATCATGCAGCTCTTCCCTGCGGCTCTCTGGAGATGGTGGGAGTCGTGACAGCTGCCAGGTTGCTGGTGTTCCCAAGGTGGAGGGGACGTGATGAGCCACGAGCTGAGGGGTGACAGCAAGCCTCCCTTGTTCTTAATTGCCACCTTCTGATTCCCTCCCTCTCTCTCTCTGATTCATCTCTTTCCCGTGGCACCGTGTCCTGCTTTCTGCCAACCGGATCTGCCACTGCACCCGCAGCCATGCTCCTCGGACTGATAGGCAAGTATGAAAGCACCCGAGCCTCAGCTGGGGGAAAGGGTGGGCAAGGGATCATATCCCGTGTGAAGCTGTCTGGATTATAAGCAGCTACTCAGCTGAAATCCAGAGTTGGGAGGAAGCAGCCGCTGCTCGAGGAGGTCTGTGCAGAATCCAGGCTACCCGGGCCCTGCGCCGGGCTGCTCCGGTTAACCTTTGCGGCGCATGCAAGTAGACGTAAACCTCCAGGCAGTCCCGTGCGGTTCGGGCTCGGCTCAGGCAGGGGCAGGCGCGTTGCTGACCCATGGCATCCTAATGGGGAGCAACCCGGACGGAGTAAACTGTCCTTTACTCTGAGCAGCGTGACAAAACCCTGTGGCTGGTGAATGGCAGGGCAGAGCGCAGGTCTGGGAGTGCTGGGCCCTGCCAGAGCCTTTACCCTGGCACCAGCGCACACCGCTGGGTCTAGCAGCAGACCCCAGTGCACTGGGCTAGCCTGGGCGTGAAGCACAACCAGGTGCAGCGCGGGGAACCCGTTGGGCCCGGCGCCTGCAGGGTGGAAAGCTTTCCCGGCAAGGCCCGCTCTGCTTGTGAGCGGGGTGCCGTGGTCCCCACGTGCTCTCGCCTCCGGTGTCTGCAGGGGCAGGGGCAGGGGCAGAGCTGCTCTGCAGACCGCAGTCTCAGGAGTGCGGATTTCTCTGTAACAAAAATTCAGATCAAACACTGCATCCTCTCCGTCCCCTCGAGTGGACTGGTCCACGCGTTGCATGGACTGGGAAGAGCATAGATTCATAGATGCGCTGGGACTAAGAGGCTTTGGGACTGCAGCTGGCCTTGTCGTCACTCAGAGCTCGTTCCCCTGCCCTGCCCTGCCCTTTCCGTTCAGATGTTCCTCATTCCTTCATCTTCACTGAAACACAGTTCTCCCTCCCCTTTCCCCCTGTCTGCGTCTCCTCTTGCAGGGATCTATGAATCTGTGGATGCAGGGCAGAGCTGTCACGTGGCTGCAATTAAGTAATGGCTTGTTTTGGGGGTTGCCCTGCTCTCTGCCTTGGAGCAGCCCAGCTCGCAGGGCAGCCAGTTCCCCAGCGCCGTGACCTCATTTCCAGCACCGTGGTATTACATTCCCTGTGGTCATAAAATTAATTGCACCAAATGACTGTTACTTAACTGAAGCTACATCAGATACGCTGGGACTAAGAGGCTTTGGGACTGCAGCTGGCCTTCTCGTCACTCCCCGGTCCTGCCCTTTCCGTTCAGATGTTCCTCGTTCCTTTATCTGCATTGAAACAAAGTTCTCCCTCCCCTTTCCCCTGTCTGCGTCTCCTCTTGCAGGGCTGATGGCAGAAGGTGGTCACTGGCTTCACTACCCTCGTCTGGCTATGGGACTAACACCCCCAGCTCCACGGTCTCGGTAAGGCTCACCAGCCGTTGCTAGTCCGGCAGGGTGGCGTTGCGGGGTGTTGGAGCCCTCCCCGGGCCTCCGTGGCCTCCATCCGAGGCAGATCCATCCTGCTCTCCAGGGCCTCTCTGCCCAGCCACGTGTTTCACTTGGAAACTGTTTATAGGGTGTTTCTGTGCTAGCTGCAGCATGTTGCAGATGGCAGCTGCTGCTTTTTCCAGATTAGTGTGGGGGCGGCGGGTCCAGCCTGGGTGCACTGCAGAGCTGTTGTGGTGGGGACAGGACTGGAGCAGCAGCCCGTGTTGCAGGTGGGAGCGGAGAGGAGCATGTGCGAAGCCCCGAGGCAGAAGAGCAGATGCCGCGGGCCTGGGTGAGCGGGGCACGGCAGAGCCCGCGATGCGCACACGCGAGCCCCTGGTGCAGCCGGTTACACCAGGAGGGCCCCACCTGCTGCCATCGGCGTTCCCAGTCACAGGGTCCCGAGGCTGCTGCTTCCTTTAGGTCGCCGTCCTGCTCTGCCCGAGGGCAGCCCGGCTGTCTCCTGATGCCTGTCGCCTGTCCTTCCTTCCAGTCATCCTCGTCCTCTCAGGAGCGCCTGCACCAGCTGCCGTACCAACCCACCCCCGATGAGCTGCATTTTCTCTCCAAGCATTTCCGCAGCACGGAGAGCGTCACGGACGAGGAGGGCCGGCGCTCGCCCTGCCTGCGGCCACGATCCAGGAGCCTAAGGTAACGAGCCTTTCCCTGCCCCTGGGCTTCCCCAGCAGTCAGCTTCGTGTGCCGATGGGTGGAGGGGAAGCTGTGGGGGTTACTGCCCAGAAGTGATGCCCACGGGGCTGGCGTTGCACTGCTACGGGGGCTGCTGGGCTGTGTCCGGTCCACCCGGCCTGGCCTCCCTCGCTTATCGCGCAGGCGCTGTACCTGTAGCAAGGCCGCGGCTGTCCACCTTGGGAGCGGCCCCGAGCCGAGAGCACGGGGGTCTGATTCCAAGCCGCTGCACCGTGACCGTCCCACCAAGCCCTTCAGCTCCGTCTTCAGCGCTCCTCGGGTCTCCGTGCCTCATCCTGTGGCTTGGTTTGCTTGCCTAGCCACATCCTAGCAGCCTTGTGCATGTTACTGGAAATTGCTTCTACCTGAGAAGCAGGCTCCTGGGGCTGAGGTTTCAGCACATGCTGTTTGTTGCAAAAACATTTTTTTGAAACCGTTTCCTGCTGAGCTGTTTGTCTCGTTCCTTGGAGCGGGTCACGGCAAAGGGAGTGGGGAGCTGTCAGCCCAGGTCCTGCAACAGGCCTGTCCTGGCGGGTCTTGCTGATGGGTCAGGGTTGCAGTAGAGAGGCCAGGAGCTGACTTACTGCTGGCACGTGAAACAACCCATTTGCGTAGCCGGATCCGGAGGCATTCTCTGTATTCACAAGAGCTGAGTGCTCTGAGTACGCGCCTGCAGGGCCACTCCCGCCCCAGGCCTAAGACAGCAGGCTGGGGCATGGGTTTTTTGGATGTTTTAGGCATGCAGTGGGGGGCAGGCGGGGGTGTCACACTTCCCTTTGCTGCATTTCTACCTGGGCCCATTGCATGAAGCGTCCCAGCATGGAAGCAGCTGCAAGCCAGGGAGCCCCAGGGCCTCTGTCTGACTCCTGCAGTCTGGCTACGGCAGTAGTCGGGACCCACAAGCCTGACGAGCTAGCATCCCTCCATAATGCTCCGTGTGCTGGAGACACCGACCCGTCCACGTCCATTGCTGGCCCGTGCTCCCCTTGCCCAGCGCAGTGCATGTGCACCTCCCATGGCGGCGGGGGGGTCACAGCTGAACGTGCCCAGACCTTGCTGTGTGCTTGGTGGGTGAGAGCTATAGCTGGCCTGGGGCTTTGTCTGCTGAAATCTCATTAAAGTGAGATTAATTATTGCAAGGGCTTCACAGCTGGATGCATGTTTTACCAGAGAGACGCCACTTGCGGGGCTGCTATTGCTTGTACACAGCAAATGTACAACATCCCCAGACTAAGCCAGGGCTTACTGCTTAATCGCTGAAGTAAGAGCGGATGGGTTGAATCTGGTTTTGTTCTTGCCATTTCTTCTCTCTTGCTGCCTGCTCCCTGCAACTTGCTTTGTGTAACAGGATTAAAATGCCACTGCTTGTGGCATGGCCCAGAGGGAAGTTGGCTCTGCTGAGGGCAGACGGGGGGCTAGGAAGATAAGTGACTCGTCTGAAGGTCCGTCTGCGCCTTGGAAAGAAAAGGTGGCGCGGTGGTTGACCTGGTCAGAATTGGGCACGGCGAGAGCATCTTCCCCGTGGTGTCAGTACTGGCGTCAAGGCAAGGGCAGCGGCCAACATGATAATGTCGAGGGTGTGCAGGACGAAATCGCCCTCTGAAACGAAATCGGCACGTTGACCTTTCGTTCCTGAAGGCTGGGACTTGCTCTTGCCCTGTAACTGGTGTGAGTGGCTAGTCGGCCTGGCTCTTTGCAGACCGTCGCCGGATCAGGCAGGCACCGGGCTTCCCCTCGTGACCAGCGTGCCAAGACGTCTGGGCGGAGTCGCAGTTGGGCTGCGCAAGGGAAAGGGGGAGTGCCATGTTAGACAAGGAGGAGCTTCTGCAAGTTTGGAGGGGAGCGAGAGGCTGCGGGGCAGGTGGGAGGCAGAGGGAGAGCCCTCGGGTGCACTGGGGCAGCTGCATTTGGAGCGTAGTGGACCGGCAGTCCCCACGCGCATGCTTGGCGTGACTGCGTTGGCGGCTTGTGAAACATGGAAGTGTTGCGTCTTGAATAGGAAACAAGCTGTGGTGAATCTCCACCCGCGTTTAAAGCTGCACATGCTGTGTGTGACATGACATCGAACATAATTGGGTTCTTCCCCACAGCCCGGGACGGACGAGTGGAACGTTTGATAACGAGATTGTTATGATGAATCATGTCTACAAGGAGCGGTTCCCTAAGGTAACGCCTGGTGCTCGGACAGACACTCCTAGGAGGGCGGGCGTCCCACAAGACCCGTCTCTTGTGTCTGGGGAGGTGCACCCAGTGCCCCGGGGGAGCAGAGGTCAAGGGTCTGCCACGCGGGGAGGTGCGTGTGCCCCGGTATCGGCACAGCCATCTCCGCAGCAGCCTGGTTCGCTCTAGGACACTACGCAGGGGGCTGGACCCGATGATCTACAAGGTCCCTTCCAGCCCCGACGATCTATGACATGCACCGTCCTCGAGACAAGGACGCTCTGGCCCTTAAGGCTGCTGGTGCCGCCCCGTGTCTCGGGAGTGGGGATCGATGCTTCTAGTTTGTGTGATGCTGGCGAGCTGCAGATGGGCGGGCGGCCCCGAGCGTGGAGCCCTCTCGTGCGGCTCTCACCTCGCTCGCCGGCTCCGCGCTGCCCCAGCGATGTTCTGCGTTGTCGGCTGGCCGCCTCCCAGCCTCCGGCCTGTCCGGGGAGCCGTAATGGAGTCTGTCCCTGCTTTGGCTTCATCCTTCCTACGGTACCACGCGTCTGGCCTTGGGGTTCACTGGAAGAAGGCGCTGGCGACACGACTGCTCGGTGCTGGGTTCCTTGCGTGCGACCAGCGCTGTGCTCAGAAGTGTTTGACCCACAGGACCTGCCTGGGCCCTGTCTGAAAAGCTGCTCATGATGGTTTTCTTCACCTTGAGCCAAAGGCCCGCACCGGCCTTCCTCTGCCCAGGGGTCTTGAGTCCTAATGGCAGCCACCGGGGGATATGCTTGGCTCGTGCCAGCTGCTGCAGCTCCATTGCCTTCAGGGAGCTCTGGCTCAGGATGTCATGGGACTGCGCTCTTGCAGGTCATGGCTTGCCTCGAGGCACGGCCCCTAGAGCCGGACCAGTGCAGCTGGTGGCTGACATGGGGTACGTGCCTCTGCAACACCTTCCGCCTCTGTCGCACAGGCCACGGCACAGATGGAGGAGCGCCTGCAGGAGACCATCACCAGCTGCTCCCCGAGCAGCACCTTGCCCCTTGCTGATGGGGTGCTGGGGTTCATCCACCATCAGATCATCGAGTTGGCCCGAGACTGCTTGGCTAAGTCCCAGGGAGCCCTCATCACCTCGCGCTACTTCATGGAGCTGCAGGAAAAGCTGGAGAAGATGCTGCGAGACGTACGCCTCTGACCCCCCGCCCCGCCGTCCTGGCTGCCTGCGGCTCTGTGGTGACCTCGCAGCTTTTGTCTCCTCTTCTACAGGCCCAGGAGCGTTCGGAGAGTGAGGAAGTGAGGTTCGTAGACCAGCTGGTGAGGAAGCTGCTGATAATAATATCTCGACCGGCCCGCCTGCTAGAGTGCTTGGTAAGAGACACTCGTGGCTTTGCTGCAGTCAGTGTGCATGCTCGGCTCCGGTCTCGGTTGTGCGGGCTAGGCTCAGTGGTCAGAGACAAAAACTGAGTCCCCTCCAACACATTTACATGCACAGAGCGGCTCCTGCGCGTGTCGTCTGCCCTGTAGCAGGTCCAGCTCAGTCCCAGTGGGACGTCCAGACAGAACGGGGCCGTTCCCTTTGGCCGGCTCGCTGGCGGTGGGTGTCAGGCTAGTGCTTATGTAACGTGGTTGGTCTGGAGAGATCAGCTGAAGCCCGCACAGACATTCAGAATTATTAATGAAGAGGGACGCAGGGCTGGGAGGGATGCTTAATCTGCTTTGCTGCTTCTCATGCCCTGCTGTAGCTTTTATCCTATACTGAACTTCCCAAACATATTCTGCTTCAGGGATTAATCTGGTTTGAAACCCTGCAATTGTACCTTCGTTAAATCTTCAGATCTCTCTTGCGGGGTCTAACTGGAGATTTGTTCTAGCATATCCCACAGCTGGAAGGAATAACACTGCCTAGGCACAGAGCCAGGCTGCCCTCTGAAAAATGCCCTCAAACTCTGGGGCACAAGACTAAATCTATATCCAGGCTTGTATGCCGGAAGCAGAAACGCCAACCAGTCTGTGCTGCGTCGCAAAATGCCAGAGCCGAAGCGGGCCGGCTCAGATCAGCACTTGCTCTAGCCCCGTGTAAAGACATTCGTGCCTTCAGGCACCGGGATGCCCGGAGCGCGGCGGGGGGAGGGACGTTAAGGCAGAGTCCTGCATTGACTGTGCGTGCTCTTCACTGTGCAGGAGTTCGATCCGGAGGAGTTTTATCACCTGCTGGAAGCCGCGGAAGGCCATGCCAAAGTTGGCCAAGGGATAAAGACCGACATCCCGCGCTACATCATCAGCCAACTGGGGCTCGCTAAGGACCCCCTGGAGGGTAGGGAAACGGGCAGTGCTCAAGCTGGGAACGGGATGCAGCACTGCTTGCCCCCAGGCTGCGGTTGTTGGGTAGACGTCGCCCTGTCCAGGAAGGTGTCCCGTTCCCAGACAAACAGCTGCCCACATCCTGCCGCACCAGTGCTGCTGATGCTGGGGCAGCCTTGCTACTGTCTCGGGGGGGCTGGAGTACTCCAAGGGAGCGTTGTGCTCTCCCTGGGGTCGCCTCTTGAGACTGGGGTGAATGCGGTGACACAGGACGGTGGTGGAGCTGGTGCTGTTAGGACAAACAGACGGCTTGTCCATCCAGCACTGCTGCTGGTAAGTCGGCTGAGATGCACGTTCACGATGACGTCGAGCTCGCAGGCCTGTGCAAAGCTCCTGTGCAGGCTGCCAGCCGGGTAGGCAAAAGGGCTCGTATGCGGTGTGTGCCGTGTCCTGCCCCCTCCCACCCGTCCTGCTCGCGGCAGAGGGCAGGGTGTCCTGACGTGAGCCTAGGCCTCCTAACCTCCTTCCAGGCATCGCATGGCTGGTGTCTGGTACAGCCATGACCAGACTGCTGTCTCCCCGCTTGGGTCGCATCCCCTTAGCCAATATATATGCATCAGATGCAAACCCCTCCACTGGCTGCTTCAGAGGCCAAGTGGGAGCCCTCTCAGAGTGAAAGGCAGCAGTCACTTTGGCTGGTGGTGACAGATTGCGCTCCCGTGAGGATGCTCGATCCCCTGTGCCTGAAAAGCAGGTGGTATCGAATCGCTCTGTGCGGAGATGAAGTTAGATGCATCGGCCACCAAAGGCAGCAAGGCTCGGCAGGTGGTGGTGGCGTGGTGCCGGTTCCAGGCCTGTGGCCCAGACGTTCCTGGCCAGACCCCCACTCCATTGTCATTAATGCTCGCTCAACGGAAGTAAAGTAGATTACTTTCAAGAACACTTAATCCATGAGAAGCCAAAACTCAAGGAGAATCTTAATCCACGGAGAGAGCACAGAGAGGGCTGTGGAGCAGATAGCGTTGTATACAAGTTTAACTCTCAGTGCGGTAGTGACGTAGTAATGTTGTAGTTCGGACCCTCGGCTGCCACGACCCTGAGTTTTCCAATGGCAGGTCTGGGCTGGATCCCATGGAACCAGCTGGACGGATGTCATTCCCATGCTGTCTCGAACCGCAGCACCGTGCCCGCATTGCTACTGCATGGCTGACAGCTGTTTTTCCCCCCGCAGAGATGGTTCAGCTGGATCAGTTGGATGGTGGGAATACTGTTGCTCCAGAAGCAGATGACCCCCCCGAGGTGGGTACGGCCGGCAGAGTCGGCATTTGCAGTCCCTGCTCGGACCTTCCTGCTTTGGCATGTACTGTGTACAGTGTGAACGTCTAGCATCCTGTATGCAGACGGCCTTCCCGCATCGCCGTACCCCAGGAAGACTAGCATTTGAGCTGCCCCATCCATAAAGGACTGATGAAACTGTGTGGGTTTTCAGGCATTGTTGATGGTAGACATCGTGTAGATGCCCAGTCCCATGCTCAGGCCCTCAAAATGGCACCCGGGCATGTGGAACAGGCATGGCAGGAGGCCGGGTTTGGCTTGCAGTTCCTTGCCTGCGTGGTGTAGTGGGTTCCTGGTCGGGTAGTTCCCATGATGGTGAGCGATGGCACCACTTCAGCAAGTAGGTGTAGTGAGCATCCAATGGCAGGACTGTCATCTTCGGTGAGACAGCATCCCGGGGTGTGGGGGTGCACTGGACAATGGCAGGGATGCTGAATCAGGGAACATGTGTACAGTGATCTGTAACAGTTCCAGGATTGCAGAAGGCCAGATATATCCCTCTGTGTCTGTCTGTCTGTGACTCACTCAGAGCCGGGCTTCAGCTGCCACTTATCGAAGGAAACCATGCGAGAGCGACTTTGAGACCATCAAGCTGATCAGCAATGGGGCCTATGGGTGAGTTGTGGGAGGCTACTGCTTCCACACAGGATGCTTGGGCGCCAGCACGCCTGGGCACTGGAGGCTGCACTGAGCCGTCCCCAGTCCCGACAGCAGACGTTGGCTGCTGCTTTCAAATACAGGACCTGACCAGTCTTGCTGTCCCCTTTAAGAAAGCACAAACGTCAGTGAGTAGAGAGGAGCAGCAGGCCCAGTGCTTCTGGCTCCTTGCAGCTGCTTCTGGTGTCACTTGGCCAGGCAGGGTAGAGACTTTCCGCTAGAACTGGTGAGCCTAAGCTCTTGCCTTTCAGTGCGGCGCTCTAGTGCCTGCCCGCCCGTTCCTCCAGACCCAAGCCGGCTTGCCGCATGGGTAGCAGCTCCCACCTCGCTGCAGTGATGTTGCTCAGTAAGACAGGCCTCGCTGGCAGCATGCTTGGAAACGCCCCGTTCACTTGACCCAACTGTAGATGATGCCACGGAGAGCACAGTGCACGGCTGGTTAGCAGCAAATGCTTAGAAAGCCGGGGGGGAAGACTTGGAGTCCTGAGCATGTGCTCTGGGTGGTAGATCGGGGCTGTTTGTAGGGGTGCGTTTGGAGTAGACCGCCCAGCTGCTCTGGATGCGTGCATGTGACAGCGGCCACAGGGCTCTGTCTGAATCCTGCAGTGCCCTCGCAGTGCTGATGTGGCAGGTGCCGAAGGCTGCTGCTCAAGGAGCCGTTGTCTGTCTTTCTCCCGTGCAGGGCGGTGTATCTGGTGAGGCACAAAGAGACCCGCCAGCGCTTTGCCATAAAGAAAATTAACAAGCAGAACCTCATTCTCCGGAACCAGATCCAGCAGGTGTTTGTGGAGCGGGACATCCTGACTTTCGCCGAGAACCCCTTCGTGGTCAGCATGTTTTGTTCCTTTGAGACCAGGAGGCACCTGTGCATGGTGATGGAGTATGTGGAAGGTGAGTGCTGAAGCTGCAGCTCTTAAAGCAGATGTAAAGCCTCCCTGCTGCCTTCGTGCAGGGGAATGGAGGGCTCCCCGGTGTCGGGGCTGTTGTCCAGGCGGGCCAATGGGCAATGAACCCTTGGCACCCAGTGTCCTGTGCCCTGCCCTGCCCTGCCCACACTGTCCCTGTGAGCAGGCAGCAGGGTGAGGAGCGCAGGACTTTCCCTGCCCAGTCCACTTCTTTCCTGTGTCGGGCAGAGGCACAAGGGTCTTGTGCTGCCCCTGAGAGAGGGCACAGGACCAGAGCACCAAATGAAACCTATATTGGCCAGTTTAGCTTTACTTCCTGCAGAGTAGTTGAGGGCATAGGGCAGTTCCCCCGGGCAGCTGAGGTGTGCCCAGATGCTGACCCCTCTTACCCTCAGGCCAAAGGGTTTGGGGGCTCTGTGGAGCTGGGAGCCCCACGCTGGGGCGCTGCCATGTTGCATCAGGTGGCAGCTGCCTGAAGTGCTGGCCTGGGGCCTGACCTGGTGTGGGGAATCGTCACTCCCTGGTGAGGAAAGGCTTCAGGGATCCCTCCTTCCACCCACCGAGTCTCATGCGTGGTCACGTGTGGATCCCAGAGGGTCTGTGTGTCCCGCAGGGGGAGACTGCGCCACGCTGCTGAAGAACATGGGCCCTCTGCCAGTTGACATGGCCAGGATGTACTTTGCTGAGACTGTCCTTGCCCTGGAGTATCTCCACAACTATGGGATTGTGCACAGGGACCTGAAGCCTGACAAGTAAGGACACGGGTGGGGCAGACCCGGGGGGGCTCTGGGGTAGAAGTGGCTGGAGTCTAACCTGGGGCAGGGAGAGGGGGTCCCTCTGCTTCCCTGAGGGAGTGATGGGCCCTGCTCCAGGTTCAGCAATCCCATGGCAAGGGCAGAAAGCAGCCAGTCCTTTCACTGCAGGTTTCTGAGCAGGGCCCTGCTGCTCAGCCTGGTTAGCAGGGTACCAGTGGGGTGGGTAAAGGGCGAGCGAGGGGACGTGCTGGCTCACAGGCCTCTTCCCAGAGGGCCTGGCTTCTGTGTCTTTCTGCCTCTGCTGCGTCCCTGGAGCTGGAAGCACTGGCTCTTCCCCCTCTCCCTGCTTTGTGCTGGAGACCTGAGCCAGGCAGGTCACTCGTGCATATCTGTGCAGTTTGCTGATCACGTCGATGGGTCACATCAAGCTGACAGACTTTGGCCTGTCCAAGATCGGGCTGATGAACATGACCACAAACTTGTACGAAGGACACATGACGAAGGATACTCGGGAGTTCATGGACAAGCAGGTACAGTCAGGACCCCAGCAAGTGCGGGCGTTGTCTAAAGCACTTCCCAGGCCTCGGGGAAAGGGTGGGAGGGTTGCCCTGTCCCTCCTGCAAGCCAGGGTGGCTGTGGGGTGGCACAGGAGTCCAGCTGGGGAGTTTCAGTGTCACCGTCCTCTTCACACGCAGGTGTGTGGCACACCCGAGTACATCGCGCCAGAGGTGATCTTAATGCAGGGCTACGGGAAGCCAGTCGACTGGTGGGCGATGGGTATCATCCTGTACGAGTTCCTCGTGGGCTGCGTCCCCTTCTTCGGTGACACGCCGGAAGAGCTCTTCGGGCAGGTGATCAGCGGTAGGTCTCCAGTGACGTTGGTGACTCTCGGGGGCTCTTGGGGTTTTGCCATTTCAAGCCTTGCTCTTCCTTTGGCTCGTAGCAGCTCTGGGATAGGGGCTGGGTATTCGGGTCAGGGGCCCTGGCTGCCGGGCTCCTGCATATTCTGCTTCTGCTCCTTGCTCGGCCCCTGAGCCTTGCCCTCTGGGGTCTGAATATCAATAAGACTTTAGTCTTCTGAACCCTCTTTCATCCAAGAGCTCTGAAGGGCTTGGCAAGCGCTAACCGAGTCGTGTGTGCCTGCAGTGGTGAGCGGGCACCGCTCCTGGCTGAGACCGGGCGTTGGAGCAGCGCAAGCTTTGTAGACAGCGAGAGTGGGACGGGGCAGAAGACACCGGTGGAGGGGTTTAGTGTCCTGTGTTGTGCTGGTGCCTCCAGAGAAGTGGCTGGTTGTCTGGAGCTGAACACACTTAGCTCTCATGCGAGGAGGCACCTTGCGAGGCTTTCTTCTGTTTCAGATGAAATCATGTGGCCTGAAGGAGACGAGGCCCTTCCCGCGGATGCCCAGGACTTGATCATGAGGCTGCTGAGGCAGTGTCCACTCGAACGCGTCGGCACTGGTATGCGGCTTCAGGCCTTGCTGCGTGGCTTGAACCCCGCGTGCGCTGGGGGGCCAGGGCTCCTGCATGGCGGCTGCTCCGCGTTGTCAGTTTGAGGCTGCCCCGGGTTTGGGGTGGCCCCTGGTATGCCGGGGATTACCTCTGGGCATCTACCCCAGCTCTTCGTGGTGT